TAGCGGGGCGAGCGCGGGAAAGGGCGTAGCAGGAAAAGGGACAGCCCACCAAGGAGGCGCGCCACGAGCCTAACAGGGGGGAGAAAGACTGCGACGCACGCAGCCAGACGCAGCGCAGGCAGCAGGAGATGGGAGGGAGCCGGAGGACCAGACCGGGAACAGGGCCACGGGAGCGGAGAGAGGACAGGGGAGGCAAGGGGAGGACACAGAGGGAGCAAGCGCAGGGAGGGAAGCAGACGAGAGGAGAGGGAGGGGCCAGGGGGCGAAGAGGGGGGAGGAGGGGCGGGCGGCGGCCGCGGCCACAAGGGGAGAGACGGCCAGGGGAGAAGGAGCCCGGGGCGAGCCCCCCAGGCGAAAGGGGCAGGCCACAAGCCGAAGGACAGGACAAGGACGGGGGGAGGCACAGAGAAAAAGGCGCACACCGAGGGCGACGAGAAAGGCCGGGACCAGGGGCAGAAACACCGGGCGTGAAGAGGATGAGGAGGCAGGCGGCCGGGACGAGCGGGGGGGAAACAGGCGCAGGGGAAGGGGGAAGAAGCCGGGAGGGCGAGAACGGAAAGGCGGAAGCACAAGGAACAAGGAGGCGCAGGGAAAGCAAAGCAAGCAACGAAACAAGGGGCAGGAGCAGGGACGGGGAAGGAAAGAGGAAAGAGAGGACGGACGGGGGCCAGGGAAGAGGGAAGCGCGAAAGGGAAGAAGCAAGAAGGAAGGCGGCACCGCGCGGAGCCGGAGACCGGAGGCACCGCCGGAGGAGACGGAGACGAGAAAACGGAGAGAGGGGAAACGGGAAGAGCCCGAGGGGGCCGGGGAGGGAGAGGGGGAGGAGAAACCCGCGGCAAGAGGAAGGGGGAACCGCCGGGAGGAAGAGAAAGCCCGGGAGGAGGGGGACCGCCGGGAGGAAGAGAAGCCCGGAGGAGGGAAACGGGGAAACCAGAACCGGAGCCAGGAGACAGCGGGGAACCCGGAGAAACGGAAAGGGGAACAGAAGGAGAGGGAGGGAAGGGCACCCAGGAAGGCCGCCGGGACACAGCACGAAGCAGCAACGGGAGGACCGGAGGGAAGGACAACCGGGAGGAGAGAAAGCAGGGGAGGAAAGAAGGAGGGCGAACAGGCGCCCACGGAGGCAGAGGAGCAGGACACCGGAAGGAGAGGAAGCAACGGGAGGAAGAAAGGAGGCGAACAAGCGCCCACGGGAGGCAGAGAGGCGGGACGGGACAAGGGCAAGCCGGAAGGGGAGCGCACGGAAGAGGAAAAGGGAAAAGGCACCACCGGAGCGAACGGGAGGAACCGAAGCAGGGCGGGGACAGGCCGGACAGAGCGGCCCGCGCCCGGCCAGGGAGCACAGGGAAGAAGAAGGCGAACCAGAAGAAGAAGGGAAAAGCCGAAAGGACCGGAGGCCGGAGGGCGGAAACAAGACCAGGGGAGCACGGCGGAAGGAGGCAGAAAGAAGGGAGCAACAGCAACCAGAACAAAAGCAAAACCGGAAGAGAGAGCGAAGAGGAGCAGCAACCGGAGGGGCGAGCAAACAGAAAGCCAGACAGGGAGGGCAGAGGGAACCGGGAGACAAGGACGGACCAGGAGGCCCAGCCGGCCAACAGGGCCAAGGAAGGGCAGGGGCGCCAAGCCCGGAGGCAACGGAGCCGGGAGCAGAAGAGCGGGGCCAAGAGGCACGAGGGAGACGCGGGGAGGGGGGACCGGCGCCGGAACAGACAGAAAGGGCAAAGCCAGGGGCGGGGCACCACGAGGAGAGCGGGCGGGCGGGGAGAAGAACAGAGCGGCGGAGGAGCAGAAGGAAGCCGCAAGGGGGGCGAGAGGGCGACAAGGCCCAAACCAGAAAGGAAAGGACGCAGCCAGGAGGAGGGAAGGGGAGCCGCAAAGCAGGCGACAAAGGCGGCCGGGAGAGGGGAAGGAGCAAGGACAGGCGCCGGCACACGCAGCCAAGAGAGGGCGCCAGGAGCAAGGGGAAAAAGAGAGGCGAAGGGGGAGGGCGGGGAGCCAAACAGCCGGCAGAGGCGGAAGCCGAAGAACCGAGAACCGCCAGGGGAGGCGGGCCGGGGAGAGGGGAGCAGGGGGGCCGGAGGGCCGGGGAAGGAGCACAGGACCCGCGGGGCAGGGGCCAGGGGAGAGCGGGCGAAAACGGGGGAAGGGGAGGCGGCGAGGAGGAACCGAAAAGCCCAGGGAGCGAGCACAGAAGAGGGCGGAGGCCAAGCACAGAGGAAGGCGCACCCAGAGCCGGCAGGGCAAAGGGCGGAGAAAGAGAGGCCGGAACAGCACGCAACAGCCCGGGAGGAGGAGCAGCAAGAAGAAGGGCGGCAACAGGGAAGACGAGGAGGACAAACGGGCGGCCAGGAAACCGGGAGGGAGAGACACCGAGCAACAGGGAGCGCGACAAAACCAAAGGACAAGGGCAAGGACCAGGGGCGAGAAGCAGGGGGAAGCCAGAGAGCGACAGCGGCAAGCGACAGACCAGAGGGGCCGGGCCGGGGGCCAGGAAGCCGGGCGGCGAAGCCAGGGAGACGGCCGCGGGGAAGGGACCAGGCAGAAAGGCAAGGGGAACAACCAGGGGGGGAGCGCAAGAACAGAAGGAGCCACCAAAACCAAAAGAAGGCGCAAGGAGAAGGAGGAGCCGGGAGGGCGGGGGAAAGGAGACGGGAGAAGGAGCAAGGCGCAAGGCACGGGCAGGCGCAAGGGCAGAAACAAGAGAGGCAGCAGGAAGGGCGGAGCGGGCGAGCGAGGAGAGCGCCGGAAGGCCACGGCCGGCGGAGAGGGCACGGGAGCAGCAGCGGGAGGGGCAACCGCAGCGGCAGGGACAAGAGCGGCCGCAGGGGGAAGGGGAGCAGCGAGGGGCGGGGGGGCCAAAGGAGGGCCAGAAGGCGACACGGCACGGCAGCAAGAGGAACAACAACAGGAAAAAGGAGCACGGGAGGAAGCGGGAACCAGCAAGGACGCCGGAAGCGCAACAGGACGAGCGCCCACACGCCCACGGACGGCGCCAGGGGAAAGGAAGCGAGCAGCACCAGACGCAACAAGCCGCGGACGGAGGAGGAGGACAAGAAACAGGGACCCGGGAGACCGGGCGGGAGAGCCAAGGAAAGAACCACGAAGGGGCGGGAGGCCAAGGGAGGGCAGGCAGGGGGAGGAGAGAGCAGCACGCCAGCGGGACAGCCCGAAAGGGAAGAGGCCGCAAACGAGGGGCCGGCGGGGCCACGGGCAGAAGGGGGGGAAAAAACAACCGGACGAGGAACCGAGGGAGGAAAGAGGCGGGGGGCGGGAAGGCAGAGAGCCACAAGGAAACCAGGCAAGGGACAGGGAGGGACCGGACGCCGAACCAGGGCCCGGAGAGGACGAGGGCACCGGGCGGCACACCAGGGGAGGGGGGGCCGAGCAGGGGGAGGAGGCCACAAAGCCCGGAGAGGCGAGGAAGGGCGGGAAAGGGGCCGGAAGGGGCCAACGGGGGAGGTGCCCAGAAGACGCAGCACCGGGAGAGGAGCGAGGGGCGGGACCGGGCGAGGGAACGGACGCGCAACGGCAAAGAGGAAGGGCGCGGGGACAGCCACAGACGGAGAGCGGGCACGCCAGGAAAGAGATGGGAACAGGACCCAGAAGGAGCCAGCAAGAAAGGAGAAAGGAGGGAGCACCGCGCCAAGACGGAGCAGCAAAAGAGACCACAGAGAGCGGGAGGGAGGAAAGCAAGGAAGCAGGAGCGGCGGGGCGGAGGGACGGAGACAGGGCGGACGGCGGGACCGGGAGGCAAGCGACACAGGCCAGCAGCAGGCAGGAAAAGCCAAGGGAGACAAAAGGCCAACGGGAAGAAGGGCGCAAGAGGCGGGAGGGGAGAGAGGACAAACCGGGGAGGCCACAAGGCAGCGGAAGAGGCGGGGGGCGCGCACGCCGGGGAACACAAACAGCACAGGAAAAAGGAATGAACAAAGGCAGAAGGATGAGGGAAACAGGAGAGGGGAGCCAACAAAACACCAGAACCAGAAAGGGGGGGGGAGACAAACATGGGGCCAAGCGGAAAGGAAAAACCAAGGGGGCCAACCGAGCGGGGGAAACAAGAGGGCGAACAAGGGGGAACAGACAGACAAGGCGCAAGAGCAAGGCAAAAACCGGGAGCCAGCGGAAGGCGGGGAAGGGCCAAGACCGGCAAGGCGAGCGGGCAGCAGGGGGCGGCAGGCACACGGGGCAGGGGCCAGGGGGGGAAAACAGAAAAAGCGGGCGGAAGGGGAGAAAAACAGGGGGGAGCCACCAGGGCGAACCACCAAGGAGGAGAAGGAACCGGAACAAGAGGGGAGGCAAAGCATACGGAAACGGAAGGGAGACGGGGAGGGCCAGCCAAGCGGGCCGCGGCAGGCAGGCAGCCGGCGGCGGCGCCAGGGGGGACAGAGCAGCGGGCGCGGCACGGGCGGAACAGGACCGGGCACCGGCAGAGGAGGCGGCCGGCGGGGAGAGAGGGCGGCGAGGAGCACGGAACAGGAAAAGCGGCACCGGAGAGCGGGAGACGGAGAGGGGCGGCGAACAGGGAGCGCACAGAGCAAGGGCGGGGAGGAACAACCGGGAGGCAGCGAGAAGGGAGAGACCTGAAGGGGCAGGGAAAGCCGCCGGGGGGGCAAAGGGAAAGACAAGGGCAAGGGACCGACAGGCAGCAGGCACACAGACGGGAAGGAGACGAGGCAGCAAGGCAAGGGAAGAGAGAGGCCAGCGGGGACAGGCACGACAGAGGAACAACAACAGAAGCAGAAGCGCCGAAAGGGGCAGGAAGCACAGGGCGGAGCGACCGGGGGGCAACCGCGAGAACCAGGGGGAAGGAGCACAAAGGGGGAGCAAGCCGGGAGGGGCAGGCAAGGAGGCAAAACCGGGGGAGAGAAACAGGGGGAAACAGAAAGAAGGAGGGAGCGAGGGCCGGGAGGGGGCCACGGGGGGACGAACGCACGCGCCGGAGGCGAAGAAGGGAGGGAGGGGAAGAAACCGGAAGGGAGGGGAACAGAAACAGAAAGGAGGAGGGAGCGAGGACCAGGAGGGGCCGCCGCGGGGGCGACGAACACACGCGCGGAGGCGAAGAAGCAGGGAGGGAAGGAAACCGTGAAGGGAGAGAGAGGGGAAAACAGAAACAGAAAGGAGGAGGAGCGAGGACGGAGGGGCCGCGGGGCGGACGAACGCACGCGCGGCGAGGCGAAGAAGGCAGGGGAAACAGAGAGAGGAACGAAGAGGGGAGAAACGCCAAGCCAGAAGGGAGCCCAAAGGCAGCGAGAAGGGAAAGCAAGGCCGGAAGGCCGGAAAGAAACCAAACAGCCGCAAAGAGAAACCAAAGGAAAGGAGGCGAGAAGGGAAAGCAAAGCCAGAAGACGGGAAAGAACCCAAAGAACGCAAAGAGAACACAATAGGAAAGGAGCCGAAAAGGGAAAGGGCGAGGCCAGAAGACGGGAAAGAAACCAAAGAGGCGCAAGGGAAGGTGCGCAAAACAAAAGAAACCGAGAAGGGAGAGGGCAGGCGCCTGAGACAGAGAAGGAGAGACAGGACGAACGAGGGCCAAAGGACGACACCAGAGAGGGCAGGCGAGAGAGGAAAAACCAGGAGAGCAGACAAGAAGAGGCCAGCGCCAAGGCAAAGGCCAAACAGAACAGAGGGACAACCAGGACGGAGGCAGACAAGGACGGGCCAGAGCACACGACACAGAGACAGGAGCGGGGAGGAGGAAGCGAGGAAGACAGAAAGCAGAAAGGGGACGGGACAGAGAGGCAGGACGGTACGGACGGGCAGAAGGCAACGAAAGGCAGAGGCAGAGCAGAGAGGAACAATCAGCAACTAGGCCATGAACACAACAAAACGAGGCGGAGAGAGGACGAGGGGGCAAGAACAAGCCACACAGAAGAAACCGGAGAGAAGGAAAAAGCCCCAAAGAGCAGGAACCCGAAGGGGAGGAGGAAGCAAGGGACAAGCAGGCGCGGAGACCAAGGGGAAAGAAGCCGGGAGGCGCGAGAACGGAAAGACGGAAGCACAAGGAACAAGGAGCGGCAGGGGAAAGCAAAGCAAGCAACGTAAACAAGGGCAGGCAACAGGACGGGGAAGGAAAGAGGAAAGAGAGGACGGACGGGGGCGCCAGGGAAGAGGGAAGCGCGAAAGGAAGGAAGCAAAGAAGAGAAGGCGGCACCAGCGCGAGCCGTGAACCGAGGCAGCCGCGGAGGAGAGCGGAGACGAGAAAACGGAAGAAGGGGAAACGGGGGAAGAGCCCGAGAGGGGCCGGGGGAGGGAGAGGGGGGAGGCAGAAGCCCGCGGGCAAAAGGAGGGAAAGGGGAACGCCGTGGAGGATATGGAGAAAGCCCGGGAGGACGGGGGACCGCGGGGGAATGGCAAAGCCCGAGGCAGGGGGGAAACACCCAGACCGAGAGCCAGGCAGACAGCGGGGAACGGAGAACGAGGGGTAACGACAGGAGAGGGACGGGAAGGGCACCAAGGAAGGTCCGCGGGACACAGCACG